TTTATTACAATCTCAAAAAACCTGTAATCTTTAACATTGAATTTCTTAAAACATTGATTTTTGACTTGTTGCTGTTTGGAACTGAACCATCGTTATAATAACAATAAAAGACTCATGTATGTAATAATTATACATACAGGGTAATTATCTAATATTGTCCCCAAAATTCCATTTTTGGAAGCTTCCAAAGAGGTTGAAAAATAATAAATATTATTTATTTATAAAAATGCACGAATAGTCGAAACAACACAACGTACTTTCGAATCGATGTTGTGGTTAATTAGTGACCGTGATGATAATCAGTAAAAGATACCTATTTAGGTTTGTCTATTTTTTGTTTGTTTGTCTAAAAACTTTATGATAAGCGTGTAATTGATGAACATCTCTCCAAACGTCTTAAAGCAAATAATGAAATCGCACCCAAAATACCACGTACCACTAAGACTAAGACTAAGGTCTCATTTTTTAGATATTTGATTTCCAAAATGGCAAAAAATATTAGTTTTTGTTGTTTTTCTTTAAAACGGTTAAACATAGCAAATTAAATTTTGGTACACATTATAAGCTAATTGAGTGCCATTCTATGGTAGTGTTTTGTAGTTCATTTACTTTTATACAGGGTAGAAACGTCGAACCCCAACTTTTGTTTTGTTCAGACCTTTTTTGTGTGCACCTGAACTTTTATGAACATAAATGTAACGGAAATGGCCTGGGGTACTCACGTTGGAATGGGGGCGAAATTCATAGTATTTCAGTAAATGGGAGCCTCCTTTGCGCCCCATTTACTGTCAAATATGACACTGATATGCGGAAAATTTCGCACCTGGGCTGGAGATTTCGAGAACCGTCTGGGTTACCTGAAGGAAACTATATAAGCGGCGAAGAGAACCAGAAGGGAGTCACAAGGAGGACCATGGGCTAGATTTAAGTTAGCTTAGGAACCATTAGAGGATGTGTTAAGGTTTAGGTTTAGGTTAGAATAAGTCATATGATGTCATTTTAAACAACAAGATCTTAGCATTAAGGATCCGTAGAATAAGTAGCAGTAAGAAGTATGTAAAACTTGTCTGAAGTAAATATGTTCAAAAGCAGAGGGGAGTCAGTGCAGTGACAGCAGCGACCGAGTTCAAAATAGGTTAAACCCCGCGAGTCGGAAGTCCGAGTTTTCCGTTTGCTATTGTTATTGTTTGTGAAATTGACGTTAATTTAGAAATTAGTTTGTTCCTGTTCCGTATTTAAAGTGATATCGAGTTTAATAAAAGTTAGAAGCTGAAGAAAGAGTTTGATACCCGGCCATCCACGGTACAGTATTTATCAACTTTTTTATATCTTATTATTTTTTCCTAAGAGCACTAGTTTGCCCGCAAAAAAATTAAATCGTTTCGGCTTGATCCAAACTTTCCAAACCGTTGGATTGGGAGAGGTCAAGAAGCTCCTATAAACTTGCCCCCTAGATCTCCCGGTCTAAACGCGCTTGATTTTTACTTCTGGAGCCATTTAAAAATACGGTGTATTCAGAAGAGAAGAACAGAAGTAAATACAATCGAAGAACTTCAGGAAATAATATTTAATATTTCTAACGAAATGAGAACTTCAGTGCGAACTTTTCGGTCTGTAAATTTTAATTTCATTAAAAGACTGCGATTACGCCAAGAGTGTCAAGGTGACCAATTTTAACAGCTGCTAGGTTAAGATTAGAATGGTTATTTAAATTTAATTTTGTTAGTTTATATTACTGCGCATATTGTCACCATGTTATTATTTAAGTAAAATTTATTCAAACTTAATAATTGTAATCTGATCCAAAATACACAATTTATAAAAATAATGTAGGTTGTTAGTAATCAACTAATAATGTGTACCACAATTATTATATAAAACGTTATTATATTTAAAAAAATTAACTAATTACAGTAAGAGATAAAAAAGTTGGTAAATAACTCGCAGTAATTAGGAAAATTATGTCGAGAAAAGTTTAAGTGCACACAAAAAAAAGTTCTGAATAAAACAAAAGTAGGGGTTCCATATTTCTACCCTGTATAAAAGCAAACTGAACCAGAAAACATTAACATAAAATGGGACTCAATCAGCTTATAATGTATACCTAAATTGAAGTTTCTATGTTTAACCGCTTTAAAGAAAAACAACAAAAACTAATATTTTCCGCCATTTTGGTAATCAAATATCTCAACAACGACCCCTCAAATTAAAATAATTCCCAGGAATTCCCCCCTCTTAAATGACGAGAAGCACAAGTTGTTAAAATATTTTAACATATTTACGAAACACCCTTTATACGGGGTGATTCAAAATTGGCGTCATTTCTTTTAAGGAGTGATAGAGGCTCCCTTGGGGAGTGCCAGAAAAACATTTATATATATAAGAAGAAGATATTAACAATTGAAAATCGAATTTCAACTTTGTTATTAAGAATTATTTTGAAAAAATCCCACGTTGGATTGGCAGCCTATTGGAATACTTAAGCATTCAAAAAGAAAATTTACGATCTTCGAATTTCCTTTCACGAATTTGCTGATATGCGATTAGTTCAGGGGAAATGCTACAGTAACAAAGCAGAAGCTGAAAGAACTCACGCCAACCAAGGACGAGGAGAGTGGTTCCAGGAAGATAGTGGACGACAGTCGATGTTTGGGTTCCAGGCACAGAGGAACAAGTATCGGGCATAATCGAATCAAGGCCTTCCAGGGGCACTCAGAGCACAATAACTGACACTTTCCCAAGCACCAAGTAAATACCGAGGAAAGGCGTTTGTACGATACACACAGCACAAGAAGATASAAATGGAGCACGAGTTAATTAACTGAATAYGAGAAGCTGCTCAAAAACTGAGAATAATTTATCTAAAACATTTTCTTCGATTTTGACAGGTGGCCCTGTAATCCATCATTTATCAATTTTTTTGCTTTAGATCTGCTGAACTATTATTTTATTGAAACGCTTAAAATTTTAGTGTGACCAATAGCTCTATTCTTCACACATGGTTATATCTCTCTGTCAGAGGAATATTCAGTCCAAAAATTGTTTGATGATGAAAATCAAATATATACCTCCAAATCAACAAAACATCTATTTGTTTTGGACTAACCCAAACTAACCCAAACAGTGACTCTTTTTGGAAGCATCTGTTTCTGAACGATCACTCGTGGATTTGCGGTACCCCAAATGCGACAATTTTGTCGATTAACGAAGCCATCAAGATGAAAACGGGTCTCGTCACTAAAGATTATTTTTGTTGAAAAATCACCGTCCAATTGTTGTTGTTCTAAAATCCAATCAACAAAGGCTCTTTGGTGCTCATGGACTTCCTGCTTAAGCTCTTGAGTCAATTCAACTTTGTACGCCTGAAGCTTCAAATCTTTCAAAATTCGATGTATAGTGGTTGTGGCAACCCTAATTTCCTGAGCTCTATGCTATGCCGAATTGATGTGGTTGGGCTTTCCTCAACATTTGCACGTACGGTTGCGATATTTTCAGTCGAGAGACTATGACACTACAAATGCCGCGCAATTCAAAACCGTCGTTCTTATTGGAACACCCTTTATAATGATACGCTGTGAGGTAAATACGTCTGGCCTCTTCCGCATTCCCATTTGCTGCCCAATAACAAAAATTCATATCTTGGTGCACAACATTCCCGTTCCGTTTTAATTTATTGGTTTTAGAGGAGAAAAAATAGTCAAAATTAAAAGTAATACAATAATTACTATGAATTGTCAAATTTGGCATATTTTAAAACCAGACCACTTGATTTGCTGCGATTCCAATTGAATACAGGACTACTGGGTTGAAAGTGATAAAAATGTTGGTGTCAATTTCCTCCTAAAATAAAAGTTTTTTCGAGTCGTGGCAAGAGCACATTTTTGTCTAATATTGTCTAATATTTAAAATCGCATATTCGTTTTTGCTATATTTTCTGTGTCAAAGAAGTCATGGGGAAAATGGAATGCACGTAAAGTGCCATCCAGTGGCAACGTAGAGAAACAATTCTTTGTCTGAAAGTTTGAGATCACTCAACTAAAACTCTGTACGGATTTTTAATTTAACCCGCAAAAAAATGAAAAGAAAAAAAAAAGAAGTTTGTTAAGCTGCAACTCGCAAAATGTTACGATTTCGAATTTTTGCTACATGGCTTATGTTTGCGCCCATCCTTATCTAAACGCCTTTGTTACGTGGTTCAGGCTTTACTTTGTAAATCCGTCAGACGGTCCTTAACCACTACCCTTCTGACGGATCTGAAGCCTGAATCCGTAACAGCACTCACTCATTCGAACGCTCTAGAACAATAAAGTTTAGTTTATTGCCCTTGCAACGTTTGATTCCAAATCCTATGAAGAAACTTGCAAGTGTCCTAACAAAATTGATACAGTCCACTCCAGTGAAATCAACAGTTCAGCGTAAACGACAACCGACCGCAAATATATGGGTTAAAGGGTTGCAAGCGCGCACAGCTTACTACTATTATTTTAGACTGTAGAAACACCCTTGAATATTTCCTAACGCATTTTGCGAAAACCCTGTATAATGTTATAGCTAAAGTAAAAATTCTAACAGCTACAAAGTTGAGTATAAGTAAACGAACACACCGATTTATTGATGCGTCATTATAACAGCCTTCGCATGCGTGGAATTTACTTTGTATTCAATTTGTAAACTTTATGGTAATAAATAAAAATAAAAATAAATAAATAAATCATTTAAAATAAAGCTTATAGTTTAGCAAGATAGGAGTTTTATTTACTTTATTACATAATCAAGTTTCAGGCAAGCTAACAAATTTACGCTGTAACCTAAATTTATAGAACCACAAATCAGTTCTGCAGCGACCATGAGCGGTCTGGAAAGTCTGGACATCGAGTTGTTAAAATAACTGGAAAAGGGTTAAAGAGAGAAGTTTCCGCACGCCCATGAGCCCTATTGGGAAAATGGGAGAATCGTTGATCGCCAAATGCAAATTGCTCGGTGACGACCGCAAAATGAGCAAGATAGCAAGTGTTTCAGAACTTAGCTCTACGCCGGCCGGCCAGCAATGCGATATATCGTCGCTTCAGATTTCGGGTAACCGTTGGCGTATGCGGATGCGGTGGATGTTCTGAATCTGGAGGGAAAAACGCGACAAGTGCAAACACGTTGCGTGCCACGCGGGAGTTTTCGCTCTTTATTATCGTTATTAGCGCGTGTTTTTATCAAATCGTGGGAATGCCGCCTTTTGACCGGATTTGTCATTAGCGGCTTTTAATTAGCAAGTGACAATTGCATCTTAGAATGGAACAAAGTTTTTAATTAGGCTTGATGTGTACGGTGGTATAATGAGAATGGGAAAGGGACCGAGTGAACTGATTGCGCTGATCTATTTGGTATGCCTAATTGGATGCGAGGCTATTTTAAACAGCGGTAAGTTTCAGTTTTAATTTAAAATTAAACTTTTTATATGCTAGTTTTAGTAGCCTTTTATTTTAATCATTGTAACTTATTTTATTTTAAATAATTTTCGAATAGTTTAGTTTGCTTAAGTCATTTAGCATAGTTCGAGTGATCATTTTCCCATTTTTTAGCCTTAATTAGTTAATATCAATTGAGCCCTAGACATAGTTTAGACTAAAAATTGGCTTTGGCCAAACTTTGTAAGTGCTTTCTAGCTTTATTTATGAACGCTCTAAGAATTTTTAATTTTTTATACTGGAACGAAAGATCACTGCTTTTAAATAGCAAATTATCATTTTTAAATAATTTAATTATTTAGGTATTTTTTATTAGTTTAAAAGTTCTTTCCACCATGTCTAAAATGCGATTGATCGCGTATGCAAGTTTGAGGAGCACACCGTTACAACTTTTTCTCAGTATAGGGCTCCAATTTTAACTCATTCGTGAAACATTGCAAACATAAGCGATCCGAGTTGGGATCCATTATAGCAAATGGGCTCAATTTTGTTCAATTCAAATGGTACTACCGTTTCGTGAAGAACCATCTACATTTATCCCTGTGCCGAACTGAGCTAACCTAAATTAATAGAAAGTTAAAGTTTCACAAATAGAATGTTTCACAATGTTTTTATTTACTGGAAAAAGTTGAACCGCAAACTATTCAGACAAATGGATCTTCTGGATTTGATAATGACGATGGTATTGATGATGACGATATTTATTGTCCGGCCTGAAAAATCAGTTACTAGTTATACTGCAATGTGCACCTTCACTCATGTGCATCCTCCAGACCTCTATCTACGCGCTTAACCGGATATCGACACAGATAAGTCGTTTCCAAGCACATGAAACTGAGTTGTGCTTAGTGGTTTGAATAAAATCGCTCTCGTACCGGAGAAGTTGAAATTTGTGCTAAGTAAAAGAACCAGCGGTACTCAAGAGACGATAGAAGTTAGAAGCAGCCTGTAAAAGAACGAACTTAAAAGCAGTGCAAAGAACCAGAAGCATAAGACGCGAAAAGTATTTATGAAGAGCATCGGTAGCATTAAAGAGGTTTGTACAGAATGTGGAACACAATAATACCGAGGATACACGAATTTTCGGCAAGCCTATGCGCCTTAGGTGGGAGGATTTACATTCTCATAAAATGCTGAAGTCTGGTACCAAGGTTGTGTGAATTTATTCGTTTCCATCTGAGTTTATGTTTTTTAAATAATAAAAAGGACGCACCATTATATGTAAGTCAGTGTTGTTTCTGTATTCCTTGATCTAGTTCATAAAAGTAATTTAATTTTTGAGTTATTAATTCGATAACTTTTCAATTTCTTTTTTTTTATCTAACTAAAAATGCGTAAAGCGAACATTCCTATATAAACATCTTAAAAAGTCTCAATAATAAATATATTTTTTTTGTTTGTGTCAAGCACCTCATTTCCACGAAACACATATTCACTAATATTCTGACAAAGCAGTGATGGTATTGGAGTTAATTAAAAGTGCTAATAGTTTGATTACAAATTTAGAAAATTTGACTTTGAACTTGACGATCATCTCCTACCTGCAAATTGAACGTTCTTAAAAAGATGTGACGGAATCTCATAGATAGCTCAACTCTCAGCCCAACTTTTAATAATTCGTTCGATAAGTTCACAGGTTCCCAAATTGTATTCATCAAATTGTATTATGTAAACTAGTGTTCTGCGAAAACATGCTTGACATTTCCTACGCCCTGATGTGACCCCATGAAAAATGTAGTGACGTTAGTTTTTTTAGTTGTTAAATTTCTAGATTTGGAAAGTGTTCCATTACCGAAAAAGTTTGGGAGACCCTGGGTTAGTTGTTTAGTGGCAGCTCAGATTATTAAGTATTTTAAGGGATCTATATAAAATTTATATTTAGAGATAAAATTCTCAATATCGCCAAAAGAAACTAGTCACTTTGTTTAAATCGGGTCATCTCCGAACCTAGCCTGCTTAGCTGCAAAGGTTTTCCTTAAAAGCGTCGAACTACGAAATCATAATGTGGCGGAATTAATAATATAAAGGTGCACATATTCAAAAGAACCGAGAACAAATTTATTCAAAAGTCTAATATCGATATTGAATATTAGTGGCATGAAGTATGACTCAATTATTCCTATTAAGCCTTCCCACAGAAACACAGAAAACAGGTTTTGCAATTTTCATTCCATGGTCAAGTGAGGATTTTTCTATTTCTGCCCATTGCCGAAATCCAGTTTCATTTGTAAAAAGCAAAAAAAAATGCAAGAGTTTTGTCAACAATCAATCAAACGAGTTTTTTGTGTCAATTAAGGCCAAGTACTTTCGACAATTACGTCATCATCAGGGCCATCTTTATCAGACTGGTTTCAACTTAACTTTATATTAATTGTTTTTGTTCTAATTTTAACTTTAGTCTGTTTCTTGTAAGTTTGCCATATGAGTACCATTTTAACCATTTTAGACCGTTTTAACCAGTTTTTAACCAATTTTGACTATTTTTGACCATTGCTTGACATGTTTTCTTTGGTGCGCTTGGGGATGTTTGCTTCTGTTTTGACGACGGCCCTGATGATGACGTAATTGTCGTAAGTACTTGGCCTTCATTAATTACATACATACTTCATTATAAAAAACTTGTTTGTTTGATTTTGATCCAGTCTGTACACACCAACTTCTTCTTGTTATTTTAACTTTGACCTAGAAAAAGGCATGACACCTATACTACTTCTTTCATAGCGCGAACTGTTATGGAAATGCCTACTTTATAACAGGCGAAAATTCAAGACAAAAAATATCCTAATTGTTTGATATTGTGGAATCATCTTCGTCGGAATTTCTTCACCACATAAACCTCTTGATGCAGATGAACGATACTCTTATTACATTTATAAATTCCGACTAATCATTCTTAGTCGGAAAGCACGGGAGATCACTTCGCCCACTGCCTCATCGCCTTTGAAAATGTCCACCGCAGTTGTGGACGAAACGTCAGGAAGAAATTCCGATAGACCACGGCTTCAAAGCCCGGAAAACATTTATAAATGTAATCTGACCGGCCGTAAAAGCCTTCATAGTCTGATACTCTTATTGGTTGGAATAAACCTTTTCATTCCATGACACCATTTGTTTTCAAGGAATTATTTCTGGAAATTGTCTAGTTGAAACTGTTGAAATCAGTTCCCGTTTAGTAATTCACTGTAACATTTTATCCAAATGCATTTTATCTGGAAACGGACTCGTTTCTGAGAAATATATCTTTCTTTTTTGGCTTTTATAGGTTTAATTGGCTTTGTTTGTGCGCCCTGTCAGCAAAAATAAAAACATGTGTAAGTTGCACCTCTTTGCTTTACACCAATGGTTATTTAAACCCTTGGGGGACCCTAAGGGGCGAGTGTGAAATTAATAAACATATATAGGAAAAATTAAAAGTAAACTGCGTAAAAAAATGAAAGTTGCACAGCCAAATTTGCCCTAATGTTGGAAGTGGATAAATCTGGAATGCTTCAAGCCATTTGATTTCTCTTTAAAGCGTTCTCTATTCCCATTTGTTTCTTGTTCGTCAGTGTTTTGGCAAAAACTAAGAAGTTCAAATACATTTTGTACAGGGTAGCAAATGAAAAAATGCAAAGTTTTGCAGAAGTTTGGCATCCGTGCGTGTTCAATTAGGGAACAAAAATGCGGTGTTTTAGGTCTCAGGACCAAAAGTTAAAAAAGGAACCAAATAGCTCAAAACTGTTATTATACATTTTCGCCCATGTCGTTTGTTTACAGCGTAGTGGTAGTAAATCTACTTTTTGGTCTTACAGCGATAACTTTTCTGCTCTTGGTCCGAATTCCTCGATCTTGAGCTCATTTTTACTCTCTACTGCAATTCGTTCCCAAACGAGACCAATAATCCTTTTTTGTAATTCTTTATTAGATAAAACTCACAAAATCAAGTTTGAATGCATGATGTGTTTTCTTGAAAAAACTGATATTTAATAACATATTGGTTTTCACTAGCTGGCAGGCATAGGCGAAATATTTTATATTTTAATTTCCGGATTATCTGATGAGACAACAGAAGTTTTCTCGTTCAGCGTGTGCAGCTTAATGCTTGAATTCCGTTTTTGCTAAGTAATAATTATCGTTTTTTAAATATCATTTTGTAGTATATAACTTCAAACTATCAGAACTTTATTAAAAACGCATCTTTGAATTTTTGTTCCAACGTGGGGGCAATATACACAGAAATAACTTAGTTGCATACATTTTTATGCTAAAAAGGTCAAACTGTTTTTTACGTAGGAAATATTACCGGTGAAAGCGTAGATTTTGAGCTTTCTGAGGACAAAATTCCGAAAATTACTAGTTCTGAACGTGAATGATTGATTGCTTGAATGAAATATTCAGATGATATCGGCAGCGATGAAGATTCAGATAATATAACATCTTTATTACTCTTTTCTAATTTGGGAAAAATTTTAATATTTCTCAAATGAAATGGAAATAAATCCGATGCTAAACAGATGGTTTAAATACTGAATTTCAGGGAATTGAACTTTTGCCTGATTCAATTCTGCGTCTGAAGTCTCCGCGTAAATGACTCTTTTTCATACACTTGGGAAGGGTGTTCCAATAATAACAACGATTTTGAATTGCGCGCCAGTTGCAGTGTCATGATTTGACATTAAAAAAAGGCCGTTCGTTAGTAGACAGCAGGGCGTTTACTTTCACTAACTCTATTGTTTCATAAAAATATGAGTCTTACATAAGAACAAATTCACAGCAAGTTACATATCACATATCATATATTCACAGCGAAAAATACATCGTATATACTATTCTTCCGATATTTCAAAAAAAATAATTTTTTTGAAGAACTTTGACCATCAATAGCAGAGGAGACAGACATTTGTTAATAAAAGTTAGGTCAGATCGTCTTCGCAGTACTCTTTTGATCATCTGATTACGGAACACTCTGTATTT